GGTGGTTGGGGGCAGTTGCCACAAAGATCCCTGAGACGCTGCAAGTTGCGCTGTAAACCATGCAATGGAAAGTACCCACTACTACACCAAGGATCAGGATGAAAATAACGGTGACACATTTTTGATACGTCAGAAAACATGACAATTAGCAAACTGAGAGTTTGGGGTTATAATGAGTTTTTTTTCTTTCTAAAAGTAACAAAAATGTTGTCAACTAAATACCTTGTTAATAGTTTGTTTTGCTTATTTATTCTCCCTCCCATCTGCTTTCAAGGTGTTGTAACGAAGCATTTCTTTAACCCATGCATATTCATGCTGTGATGTTTTCACACTTACACAACATATTTATGAGTGTGTGCAGTCAGGCACGTCGTGTGCGATTGTATGTTCACTATACTGATGTTGTACCTTAGATCTAAGTCACATGTTTAGCTCTTGTAGCCACTGGGTGTTGTTTGTGTTTATGTGTTTAATAAACGCTAAATACAAATATTGTCCAAAAATTTATTTAAATAAATAAATACATTTTGTGGTAACCTTTGACATTTTCTTTTGACTCATGATAACGTCACTGAGCACATTTAGGAACAAAACATGTTGACCACAGTGACTTTGCTGATGAGTTAAAAGTATGCGTAATAGTAAATATTAAGCAACCGACACATGGAGCCGTGTAGGCCAATTTGGAGTCATTATTTAAAAATGTGAAAGTATACATATTTTCTCAAGATTAGCACCTGTCCTAAAAAATCTCAGTGAAAGTTAGTCAAACACTCACCTACGAAACACGGAGGCAGACGAAACAAGAGGCAGGTATGGGATTAGGTCGTGTCGGTTGAAGACAAAAGTACAGATATTGTGACTGCTGAGGAAGTGAGATTTAATTGTGTTACAGTGAGATAGAGAGAGAGAGAGAGAGCGAGAGAGAGAAAGAGAGAGGAAATGGATCATGTGAGGAAGTCCATCCCATCAACTGCAGTTAACGCTTCAGATTCAGTGTTAAAATGTCTGAAAAATCCCCACGCCTTCACAGCATGGACAACTCACACATTTACTCATCATGATGATTTGCATGGTTGCCTAGTACATTTATGAATTATCTATACAATGTCTAAAGCAATAGTGCTGTTAAAAAGTGTTGGGAGTGACGTGTGAAAGACTATTACTTTTACTCATAGTCAGTCATATCACCACTGTGATTTACTAGGAAGGGAAACCAGAGTGATGTCACATAGTAACACCTGTTAGATTGAATTGGATCACAAAGAATAAAGATTATACTCAACTCGATGCTCAAACTCACACATATACATTCTTTCTGTATGAAAGCTTTTGTTTTGAAGTGAAGTGAGAGCACCCCATGTCAACCCCTCACTCACGAGTGTGAGGATGTGTTCTTATGCTGCTGGCTTCCTGTTGATTATGATAGTTCTGCTTTACTTTTGGTGATATTGTCACAGGCGCTGTCAGTGAGATTAGTCTGATGAATTCATTACAGAACATTGGGGGGGGGAAACATCAATTACGACACCTGCCCAAGTATAACTGTGTTCTCAACATTTGGAGAGAAATAAAGGTCTGCCTTCAGTATCATCAATGAAACACCTAGCATGTGTACACCCACTAATGCTAAGATGCCGCTGCATATTCATATGTGTTCGCACATTGTCAAGTATAATTGACTCATATCTGCCATTTGTAAATGTGTATGCTGGGCGGTGCTGGAGACAAACGCTGCCTCACCCAAACTGTCAAAATGACTGAAACGCTGATTTAGAGTCTTATAACGGTACAAGAACTTTATTTTCTCACAACTTCAAGAAAGAAAAAAAAAAAAGAATGATACAAGAGGTATGATAGACAAATGTCAGCTGGTGTGCAAAAACAATATTAGGCTTATTCAACAGACATATTACTGTATCAATACTTGTGGCCGTTTTGATTTATTATGAATTGACAGTATTGATAGAAAACAATGCACACATTATAGAAAACAAATTGTTTCCATTTATCTGTGTCATACTTTGCAACTTTACATTTTATTTCTAGGAAATGCTTTATATATACGTAGAGAATGTGTTCTTCCTGGCTCATGGGTGGTTATGTACAAAGCTTTGCTCACAAAACAATCTCTGTTGGATGACACCGCAGAATATGGTGGAATACAAAATGAGGAAAAAGCGGAAAAACATTGTTCTTTTTTTATCAATAATAACTCTTATCCCCACTACACACAAAAATACACACAGGATTTCATCTGTGAAATTTTTTACATCCATTGTTTGTAAGTTCTACTTACATTATATATCATTTTGATAAAATATAGGATTATTTAAAACATCCAGGTTCAGGGGAGTCTACAAAGCCTTGGTAACAAGATCTGTTGCAGAGGGTGAGGTCATGGTTTCACCAGACAATCGATGACGGATACGACAGGAGAGCTGCCTCTTACAGGGACACACTTCAGATGACCAAAAGGAAGGATACTGGACTGTCTGACACCGACTGGTTGTGCTATCATTAAGGTAACTATCATTATTATATCCGCCAGGAGACTATGTATTGGGTGGTGTGTGCATGCGTGAGTGAGCATCTCTGTGTCTGTCCACGGCTAATCTTGCGTACTGCTGGATCTATTAGCCTAATGTTTGTTGTGCTCATTTATGCCTAAGGACCTCTCGTGGTTGCAGTGATTTAGTTTTCTGTTTATGTATGTACTGTATGTACTGTATGTATACATGTACTGCATGTATACATGTAGGTATGCACTGCATGTATACATGTAGGTATCTACTGCATGTATGTACTGCATGTATGTACTGCATGCATGTATGTATGTATGTATGTATGAGCTCTGACTACTACGGAGCATGTCTTCTTCTGTTGGTAGCAGGGGAGCTATTTACCTGTTAGCAGCCGGTGGGAGTCCTCTACTGTGTTTGGCTAACAGAGCTAGCAGCTACAGAACTAAACACACAGCAGGACTGACTGAGTGTCAGTTCAGAGGAAGCTTTAAACAGTCATCATGAAGCGTTACACAGTAAACGACAGTTCAGCTGCACCGAGCCGGTGCAGACAGCTGTCTGGATTAAAATAAGAGCCTATCTGTTGCGTGATACATGCGAGTGAAAAACGTGTCTGAATCGCTCAGGGGTTAAGACGGGGAGCAAGTGTGGTTTTTCATTCAACAAGCACTGGTCGGTGCAGAAGCACCAGGTCGAGATCTGCACTCAACTGAGTGCACTTTTTTAGTTCGACCCTGTTCTTAGTATTTTTCACATGGTTCATTCCAAGGATTCTTTGAACACTAAACAGTGAGACAAAATATTTAGTGAGTACTTAAAATGTTCATGCTCCAGCAAAACTAAAACCTTGACCAACATTCACAGCTTTGTTGTCTGTTACACCTAAAAGAGATGCAAACGATTAAAAGATTTGTTTGCTTTTGAAGTGCATTTCTCCCTCAATGGAGTATATTATATTTAAAAGCTCAATGATAACCTGTCAAATCTGCCACCATCAGCTGAATAGGCTATTTCTATTGTTTTGTATTATAAACATCCAGACTGCTCACTGTTCATCTTTGCTTTTCTCAAACCCCTTCTCCAGGCCCGTTGCCATAGCGACCGCCTCATAGCAGTGCTCCGTCCCGGGTTCAGGGGAGTGGCCTACAGGGATGCAGTCGTAGCCTTTGCCAGCTGAGCTCATGCGCTTCCTGTTGCGTGCGCCGGGCTGATAGAGCTGCATGGCTGGACGGTCCTGCAGGGAGACAAGAGAGCAGGGACATGGGAGAGACAAGCAGCACACATTTTGAATATACAAATAATATATATATATACTATGTACATGTATATGTATATACACACACACACACACACACACACACACACACACACACACACACACACACATACTTATTAATCTTCTTTACCCGCTTATTCACGAGTCACACAGGGCTGAAGTGTATCCCAGCATGCACTGGGGCCGGCAGGTACAGAAAACAGCCTTTTCAACGTTCAAATGCTCTTCCGCATCAGTAAGTGAACGCACCGTAGAAGAACGACGACCGGATTAAGTTTGTTACCTACACCCTTTGTTTAATGCCAATAGTCTGATCTGTAACATTTATTTTGTAATGTTTATTTTTTAACGTAGGAAAAAAATCATTCATTTATTCATCCATTCTTGAATGATTAGCACCGATAAATTGTTGGAGCACCAGACGTTCTATGAGCCATCTCCACAAAAATGTATCCTTACGAGGTATTTAGGGTCTCATGTTCACCTGATTTCCTGTTGTTTTTAGTTTTTTTTTTTTGGGGGGGGGGGGGGCATTATGTTTTGGGGTTGTCAGTCCCGTTCTAGTGACCGCAATATCTCAGGGACGTATTGGGCACAAACATCCACCTGGACTCAAGGACGAGCTGATACGATTTTGGTGGTCAAAGGTCAATATGACCTCACAAAACAGGGTTTTTTTGACCTGAATTCATTTGCTTATTATGACAATTTCACACATATGTCCACTAGGATAAAATTACGTCATTTTGGACAGACGTGGGTATATAGTGCAACTTTCTTGTAGACTGAAGCCAAGAATCAAACCCTGCACCTCGTAGTTGGGAAATTAAATGTCACGTAAATAGAAAACCTTTTCTTTTTACGCGACATTTAAAGAGATAAGCGTACTGTATAAAGTTCACTGTTACGCGGTTAAGTGCTATCTCTACGCCGGCATCAAGGCATAAAAGAGACCGTTTCTCTGACACAAATACACTGAAATTTAAGAAACAAGATTTCTCGGAGCTGATGATTATCATCTGTAAAAAAAAACAAACACACATCAACAAACATCTGAGACACAGTTACACGTAATTGGGTGTCACCTTCCCCCCCATCTCATGCTCACCTTCTCGCTCACCTTGTTTCGGAGGCGTTCCTTCCTGTTACCCAGGTCCTCCCTGTCCTCCTTTCCCAGTTTGTCTCCCCCGTCGGGGCAGTAGGAATAGCCATGATGGTGCCCCTCTTTCTTGGCTCGGTCCTGGCAGTAGCCCTTCCCCCATTTGGTCTCGTCTTTGCGCCGCATGAACTTGTCAAACTCGTAGTGGTGCCGCTGCCGTTTCCTCTCCTCGTCCTTCCCCCGGTGATCCTTATCTCTCTGTCTGCGGCCGTGCTGCTCTCTCTGCTCCTTGTCGCTCTCAGGCTGACCCCTAGTGGTCAGAGCGGAGATTGCATAGACACCACATAACGTCAGGGTTACACAGGCCCAGTTGTGATTGTCAGAATTGTTGGTAGCAGATCACAGTCAGATGTGTGTTTCTTTCTACCATAAAATATAGATGTACATTCAAATTTAAAACAATTTTAGTTTTAGATGATGGTTTGCAAAAAACAAAGTTTTAACTCAATTAAAAACACAACTTTCTCCGATTTTTTTTTCCAGCACTGATACATTTTATAAATTACTTGAGAACTATTTAGTGAGTGATAGCAGATTCCAACCCTGATATATATTTAGAAATTAGGTGTTAGAGTTGCCCCTCTTTTTTTTCACTGGAAGATTCGTGCCTACTGCAACTGCTTCATCAGTGGTTAGAAAATAACATATTTATTCATTACAGATCAGCAATTATCCATGGACTACTTAACCCCACGCACCGCTGTCACTTCTTTTGTGGTTCCCCACCCTGGACAGAGCTGTCCAACACAGTAGTGCTGAGTAGGCTGAGCTAGTAATGAGCCTAAGGATTTTATTTCAAGTACGGTAATTTGAGAAGTTTACAGCTATTAAGAAAGCTGAAAATTAAGATTTAGATGTAAACAAAGCATCTTTGTTATTATGATAGTAAAGAATGTTTCATATGGCCTACGTCACGCATGCTCATATCAATCAGAAAACCTTGATAAAATCCCAAAAGTGCCAAAACAAAGGTCATTAGGAACTAAGCCTCTGAGGGAAAGACCACATGTGAATGAAGGCCGGCTATTCCATAAAGTCATATCTCAAAGTTATTGTGTGAACTAGAACATGAGGCCAAACGAAAAAACTGAGGCAAGAATAGAACGACATGGTACCTCCAGTTACTTCAGCTGGCGCATGGAAGCTTGCACATTTGGACACTTTTCAAAACTGAACTTTTTCTTTTTATTTAACCATTTATTTGTTACAACTAGTCTATTTATTATGACTATGCATTTTGCATGCATTGACTGAAATGAGCTGTCGTATCTAGTTTACTGCATAGACAAGTTTCACCAGTTGGCAGAAATACTTTCACATCCATAAAGGAATTTCGAGTGGGATTTACTCTCCATCTTATGCCACATAAATTGACATTCTATCCTCTTCATATGGGGTGCCGTCGCCCCACACTCCTACTTCCAACTTCTCTGGAATCTATGAAATGGTCCTCTCAGGTTAAATAGAGAACTGGTTAAAAAGGCTGAGCCAGCCACATTAGCAGAAGATACACTCACTGAGAGGTGGACTTGTTTCTGCAGCCTAGGTGTGCCTGAATGTCCTGAATGTAGAGTGCTAACAGATCTGGAATAGGGTCCATCTCACACAAACCCCCCCCCCCCCCCCCAAACAATCCTTACTTTTCTTTGGGGTCCTTGGACTTCGTTTGTCCTCCAACTTTCTCCCATTTGCATCTGTCCATCTCCCCGACGTCACTTTTGTCCTTCATTCGGTCTGAATCCACATCGTCGTCCCTGTCGCTCTTCTTCAGGAGCTGGATATGCAGATACAAAAAGAAAAAAATCCATTATTGCACGCTACTACACTATCCACGAACAAATGAGTATCTAAGTGATGGAGCGTCACCTTGATTTTGATGTCTTTATCGGACAATTTCCTCTGCTTCTCCGCCTCCTTCCGTTTGCGTCTCTCCTCCTCCCGCCGCTTCCTCTTCTCCTCCTCCCTTTGTCGTTTCTTTTCCAGCTCTCTCCTTCTCCTCTCCTCCCTCTTCTCCTCTCTTATTCTCTGCGAGAAGAGATGCGGCACGTTGAAGAGACCACGTTCAAAGCAGATTGTCAAGTAATTTCTTTTCATTCAAGTATTTCAAGCTTTTCTCACCTGTTTCTCGATTTTCTTATTTTTGATGTACTCCAACAGTGGCGTTGTCCGTTTGGCTAAAATTGATCAAGGGAGGAAATGTTAGAAAAAAAAGTAGACAGAAGTATTTCTTTGAACCCATATAAACCTGAACCTTGATCTCTATGGTCCTGTACCTATGAGCTCCCTGGTCTTGGCCTCTATCTCTCCCAGCAGAGTCTCCGGGTTGGCCATAGACTTCTCCTCATCACAGGAGTAATTCTCCAAGAACCGCTTGTACTCTGGGTCTGAATAGGGTTTAAGATCCAGAATGAGTGTACAATATGGTGCGATGTCTACGTCTGTGTATGTCAGGGTATTTATTTTTTAATGATGGCTCAATCTCTGTATTTCAGCACCTTCTTCAATGCTCCCGGCTTTGGCATCTTTCTTTTTCAGCTTCTTCTTGGAGATTTTCTGGAAGGGGGCAAACTCCACCACAGCAGGATACTCTTGGCCTGAGCAAATATTGAAATAAAAAGGCAGCTCGTCATATAACAGACGTCCACAATCAAACAGTAACGACGGCAACAAAAGCTCTAAAGCCGCCTCTCGGGCCCATTAAATCCAGCCTGCAGCTGTAAAACAAACATATCTTGTTTTCATTCAATACGGCAGAATACGTGCCGTGTGTCGTGGCCGACAAAGCCTAACCGAGTTTAAAGGGAGAGAAATACCCTTGTTGTCGATGAAGACGTAGCCATCAAATCGGTCCCTGAACAGGAGGATATCTTCAGGGTTTTTGAAATTGACATACGCTCTGGAGAACAGGTGGGGGTAAAGACTGTGGACAGAGAGACAGAGAGAGTCACATACATTCACACGTAAGGCAAAGGCAATACGATTTGATATCACGCGCATAAATACAGCTGTTACTGCTCGTTGATTGGATAAAACGGTTATCGTGTTTACCTTTGATCGGCCGGAAAGAACTCAAAATAGTCATAGGATGGGAGCGGACTGAGCTGCTCCTCCAGCTGCTCCTTTGACAGGTTAGGTGGAAGCCTTCGGATCACCACCTGAAATCGACCATTTATATGTTATTTCCTCGGCTCAGCGGGAAGCACTTTGTTGGTAATCAAGATCATTAGGTTTCTCTCTCAAAAGATTGGCTCAAGGTTGTGACATCTGTTATTAAGATCTTGATTCCAGATCTCACAGGAACACATATCAGACAATGACACGAGGGGGGAAAAGCTCAGCGGGGGGTTGAAAACCAAGAAGTGGGGGAGCTTGGATAGTCAGACGGCATCATGAGAGACTGATGAGTCAGATATGCGGAATGGTTTGCAGCATTTTTCTCATAATCCACGCTCATGAAAAAGAGCATACTACAATTTGGCGGTTTACACATGCAGCTTCACACACACTTTACTTTTATGGAAGTCCTAGACTAAACCGCTTGAGTATCCCTTTAACTCTCTGACCCTGCCAATGGGCCGCTCATTACAAACTCCGATGATGTGCAGACAAACATTGCTCAAACACTCAGTGGTGAGGTGAAGTCATGCGACCATGGTGAAATTCCTTAACTATTAGCTTTTAATACACACTTGACCATAAGGATGGGAACAAGCTTCGAGTTTACAGATATGATTCTGACAGAATGACATTGTTAACCTGAAACATATTTTAATAATAACAGAAAAATGCAACACAGATGAAACAAGCATTTCGAAGCCATCACTTTGACTCTGTCAATGTTTTTGACTATAATACACTAATAAATACTGTAAATTATGGATTTTTTTCTGCATTATTCAGATACATATGACACCTTTGGAACTCTTTAGCTACTGGGACAATTAGGAGTTAGGATCCTAAAGGCGGGATTATGGTGCTTAAAATGTTGATGCAGCTTGTTTTAAAACATAGATGATGCAAGAATGCGGACTAGATTGGACACAGTGTCGCGCGTACGTCCAATAAAGTCTAAAATAGAAAATAGTATGACATTATAGGTCCGGCTGACAGGTCGTTTATTCCAGTCCGTCGTCGTCCTCCTCCTGTCGCTGTCCGCGGTGCTGAAATGTGGTGATCACTCCCCTCCATGTCTGTCTTCCCCACACAGTGTATAAACAATACGACGCATCGCTAACGCGCGGCCTACCCACCTTAGTGAAAACCTCTTTCTTCTCTTCTTTCTGCTTCAGGTTACCGGGAATATTCTCCTGCTCCCTCGGGACGTCTCTGAACTGTATCTCCACGACGCTTTTCTCCTTGCCCGCGGTCATCTGGTCCTTTTCAGACCTCATTTCTCTCCATCTCCCTCTCTCGCCCGTGTTAAATCGCCGTGCGCTCGCGAGAGTGTGGGGATAACGCGAGAGACGGCGCTCTGATATCACGCAGCTGCGAACTGCGTCTGCAGCCCGTACATCTTTCGTGACGCCCGCGGACACTGCCCAGGGTGTGAAGCAAAAAAAATGTGAATGATTTTTTTAGGATGAAATCATTCACATGGTGTATTACAAAATGTTTTCCACTATTATATAATTGCTTTTCTGTTTAATTCTGATTTTTGTTTGCCATTACTTACTTAGTGTTATCCGTCTTATTTGTCATCAACTCGTTGTTGTTGCTGCCTATCTTCACCGGGACACTATTGTAAAATAGATTTTAACTTCAGTGGCTTTGCTCGTTAAATAAAGGTCACATTTTAAACGAGTACAATGTTTCGTTCTGAATCGTAGTGGAGTAGAAAAATGGTAATACTAAAGTAGCTACAATTGTACTTCAGTAGCCTAAACTACTTGAATAAATGTACTATTTCCCACAACATTACAAACTATATATTTTAAGCTAAATATGCAACATGTAAAATTAAACTAACACATCGACTAGGTCATCGCTTTAGTGAATGTGTAAACACCAGCGTATGTTTGTCACGTAACTTTTCGCTGCCGCTAAAGTAACTATTTTCGCTCCAAATAAAGTACATTGTGGTGTGAAAACAAAAGCGAGTCCCATTTGCTGCGCTCGTCCCTTTAATGTCTCCAGTGTCATTCTATGTCTCTGCAGGGTCGGAGCGCAGTCAGGCAGTCCAGCAGCCCTCGGTGTCAACGTGCAGGTCCGGGGTCGGGCTGCGGGGCTTCATGCTCGACTGACCCGCACAGTGCGAACTGTCCGCTGGGCTCCAAGGTTCCTCGTGGGAGGACTGGCTCACTGACCGCCCGTGGACGTCTCGGCAGGGAACTGAGGAAAAATAATAATTTAAAAAAGTCCAACGATACTTTTCAAATGGAAATATGGGACTTTGTACAACTAATAAAATAGACTTTATTATTTTTTTTAATTTGAGCACATAGTCTGGCCTAAATACATCTTTACAAACGTATCTGATAGCATTTTTATTAAACTGGATCACTAAAGTAAACTATTTTTTTTTTTAAAAACTGACCATAAACTCACCACTGAGGAAGGTTTGCCTGCCGTTGCTGGTCTCCTCACACAGCCGAGCTCTCTCTGGGGTCGACACAGAGCTCTTCAGGCTGGGAACAAAAGTGGAACAGGTGTCCAGGTCCCGGCACACCTGGTCTTGGGTGTAAATGCCCGCCGTTTTAGACGGAGTACAGCCCATCTCTCTTGGAGCTAATACGGCCGCTCTCCATAGGGTGAAAAAAAGGGAGGTGAACAGGAAAATACTGTACGCGAATGTGAAGATGGATGGAGGGCTGAGAGAGATCACTCCTCCCCCTAAACCGGAGCATGACATTTGAGAGGACGGTCTGATCTCCGGTCAGTTTCACACTACCGTGTGTTTTTCTCTGGAGGAGTTTGCACAGCACAGGATACGCAATGGTTTGTGTTGAAAATCTTTACCATTGCTAACTAGCAAGTGATATTTGGTTTAATTCTGTACTAATAACTGTATTATACGTATGTGGGCTAATATCAGGATAATTACCTAATTATATTGGAGTATTAAAAAAACACAATGTAAAATTGTCTTGTTTGTTCAAATCAGTAATTTAAACATGTACAAGAGCATATTTGTTCATATAGGCAGGACTTCACATCTCAACAGGGTTCAAACACAACTCATCCTCAGTGAGGATTTTGAAAGTCATTTTGTGAGAAAAAAATCAAAAGATAATATGAAGCATTTCCCAGCACTGTTGTCATTACGATATTCCTATTAACACAAAACACAGACATGCTGGAATCTTTTAAGATAAATGCATGGTTTATTTAAGTAATCACCAGGAATAGTTTTCACCAAAAACTGCTTGTAATAAGCTGGCTCTTTATTAAATCCACAGGTCGAGTAACACGGAGGCTCCTGCCATAGGCAGTAATAAGTGACTTTTAGTCTGTTAGATACGATGCGAGGTGTGCGGCTGTGTTTGCTCTGCTCAGTCAAGTGTCAGAGGGCCACATGTTCCCGGGGTCTCCGGGCTCAACCCAAGGTCCAAGTACTCAACCCCTTCACCGAGGCACATGTTAATTCCCCCTTTTAAAGTGCATTCTTGCAAAATGAATACAACAGGCGCTGTATAGCAATTCACACACTTTTACCCACGCTCATAATGTTTACGACGGCATGTTCTGTGTTTTGTCACTTACAGGAACAACCATATCTAATGCACAAGAGGGAGAATCCACAGGGAACCATTGGTGGAGGACACGTGCCAGAGTTTCGGTTCAATAGCTGTCCCTGGGCTCTGATATGTGTACCTATGACAACCCGTTGCTGCGACAGTTCCGCCTCGCGACGGGATGAGATCACGTGCTGGCGTCCGACAAGGTGTCCAGCATCATGTCGCTCTCGTACATGTCGCACTCGAGGGTCAGGGAGAGTCGCAGAGGTGTCTCCAGCATCATCTTGTCCTGATTGGACAGCGGCGTTTCCAAGGACGTGATGTTGGCGTCTTCCAATCTGGGCGTGGCCAGGAGGTCGCCGGGCTCCGACGTGTTCAGCATCTTGATCAGCGCCGGAGTGTTCAAGCCACCTCGCACCTTGTCATTGATGTCCGTGCCTTTTGTGGAGATAAATGACAGGCCTGAAATGTCAGCTGGTGTCTCAGCACAGACGTTTGAATATTTGCAACAAAATTTGATCATGCATCATTTTTCAAAGACAAAAGACAACTGATGTGAAACTGCAGTAGCGTGTCCTACCTATATAGGCATCTGTGTCACCGATGTACATCTCAATACAGTGGCCGAGCATCGTCACAGAGAACGTGTCGTCCCTTTTCAGTCCGAGTGCCTGCACAGAAACAAATAAACAGACTTCTTACGTTTCTTACAAAAACATAACTGTTGACATACAGAGAAAAATATAAACAATCGACCTATCACAGGTGGTGCTTTTATGTTCCCTGTTATGCATTTATTCTATTGAAAATAAAAAAATAAAGTCCCATACCACAATATCTCTTTCTATTTATTTATACAGCTGGTGGTGTTCAATTGCACTTGGTCTTAATGCTTACATTTGTTTTGTTTTCTAAAAAGACAGCTAGCTTTTCAACAAACTGTCTTAAAAGCTTTGGCTTTCATGGTAACTCCTATTCCTTCTTGCAGAGTAGACTAGGGCTGGGCGGTATAACGGTTTCAATTTCCCGTACGATATGAATTGTCCATGTACGATTTTCATATACCGTCATACCGGTGCACAGTCGAAACAACTTCTGTTGCTCTTCAACAGGCAGCAAAATATATTGTTCGGCCCTAGGAATGCTACAGTCGGAGCTAGTTGTCTTAGCTGTATCGAGAGGGAACCCTTGTCATGGTTAACTTTATAACAATTAACAACCCACAACTAACGCTCTTTAACAGGGCAAAACCCCACGACACAACAGTTTGTGACACAAACAATTTGTAGCACTAATGATTGTGCATTTTCAGGGTAACCTTTTCTTCACTGTTCTGATAATAAAATAAAATAAAATAAAATAAAATATATATGTATGTATATATAAATAACTAAAGAAATAAACCTAAACAACACCTACTAACAACTAAATCCTACGGTCTAATCCCGTTTCTTTCCATGGAGGGGCTTAGGTGAAGGAAACAGGAAGTGACAGAACGGAATACACGCCACACAAACAGCTGTTCACCGCTCGCTGGCTGGCCGTTTCTTTTTCGTCGTTAATTAATTAATGCTTTAGCGTGAAAAAAAAAAAACGTGATATACCGTGAAACCGCCAGAATCTTACAACATACCGTGATATGCATTTTTGGTCATACTGCCCAGCCCTAGAGTAGACCATCAATCCTTCATGACTCAAGGTGTTTAAGTTAGAAATAAAGCCCCTATGGACTGAAGACAATGGCACTATACCGTGTGAAAGTAGTCGATAGCGCTCTCAAAGTCTCCCATGAGGCTGTGCACATATCCTATGGACGAGTAGGTGGAGGCGTGCTGAGGAATTAACACCAGAGCCTGACGGTGGTACTCCAGAGCCTGGTCGTACTTTCTACAGAAACAAAGTACAAAGTCTGTATCGATGGATCCAACAAAATATCATAAGGACGTTTGCAGAAATTTGACAAAATACATTTCATCAAATAGTATATTTAAAGGACCAAATTACTGGTTTCCATGATTTTGTTTAGTAACGAAAGTCAAACACAGCAATATACAATGTATTTTGATAAACAAGGCCATATCAGCAATTTTGAAATTTGTACCTTTTGTAGGCAATGAGTGCACCAAGGGAAGATTTTTAGATTTGTATAGCTGCATGTTTGAAGTTGCAAATTGTTAAAGTTTTGCTAAATACAGCATATCTTCTGCTCAATGTGCGTCCCTCTGTGTGACGGTAACATTAACTGCTGTCGACGTGTCTACATCAGCAGATTACTGCTGCCACTGCTTTGGAAACGGTTGCTAGGTATGTGTAGATCTAGTCTGACAATGACCAAACAGGTCTTCTTTGTGGACGCCTGTCTGCTGATCCTGACTAAGTGAGTTTGTGACTGAGGTACAAGCCAATTTCATGAAGGCGTTGTGATCACAAAACAAAAAATAGATGATGTCCAAAGTATATACACACTACAGTTATAATCGTTTTACAAAGAAATGCAGAGAACAGTTCTGTTCAACCCTTTTTTAAAGTGCCAGCCAATGGTTAACCTCGCACGGCAGCTGGATTCTCACGATATCTCAAGATCACACAAAAATCCACCTCATCAGGCTTCAAGTAATGCCTTTGTGTTCGAACCACAGTTGGTCCAGTCAGCGTCCTGTGTGGAGCTACTGGCAGCTACCGTGGCTGATGTGTGTGTGTGAAGTCCTCAACAACAAACGGCTCCTGAAGAAGTTAGCGTAGATGCTGCAATGGCATCAGTTATATCAGAACTGGAGAAGGCTTTTCACGATGGAAAGGATGTTTTCACTTCTCTGCTGACTGGCTTTGGCAAGGGTTTGATTGACAGCTGGTTCATCCAATGACCTGCCAAGTATCTTTTAAAAAGGGCCTGCCCTTCTCCAAACAATGACGGCTTCTCGGATGATTCTGTGTAACAAATCATCTGGCGGGTCAGGTGAGCTAAAGGTGCAGCAGCACAACATCATAAAGTCATTGTGCAGTACCGATTATCATGTTGACCCTACTTCAGTAATACCACGATAACACATGCACTACAGAGTGTTCCTATCAGCACATGTGAAGCTGTGTTTCTATGGTTTTAATTACAAGGAATGGACATGGATGCATCAATGACGCACTAACGTTAACGCACTCACCCCATATGGATGAAACCCTTGTTCTATATAAAAACTACCTCAGCCTTTCAAAACAACCACTTGTGTGGTGCACATTCTGCAAAGCCCCTTATATAGAGTGGTGGCTATGCATAATTCATTAAAGGGTCTTTTCATGAATTCCCAACGAGGGCCCTGCATTCTGAATGATTGCGACAGAACAAGTGAGCGCATCTCTGAAAATAGCATGAACAAATTAGAGCAGAGTGCACTCACCGATCTTCTTTAATAATCCACTTGGGATAAATTTAGCCTCCCATATTAGTAGCGTATGTGCCATCTCCCCTGTTGGGCCACTTCGAGACTATTTATTTAAATAGAAAATGACCTGGGAAAATTGGCTCTGTACTTACTTCAACTTCCGACACACGTGACCCAAGTTGTTTAACAAAGGCTCCCATTTGTCCACCGTGACCTAACATTTGAAAGAAAAACAGCAAAAAGCATACATTATTAACATGTGGTTATGTTTTCAAGTTGTTCGTCATTTACACATTCAGACCTTTTTAATGAAATAAATCAGCTGTTACCTCGTTTCCTATGGCTTTGATCTTCTCCATTGCATCGAGAAACAACCTCTCTGCCGTCTTCCAGCTAAAGCAATAAATGTGAAAAACATTTTTACAGATCACATGATTTTATTTTTTTTAAGATAAACCAATGTGTGTGTAATTTAAATTAGGTGCATTATGAGTTAGTTAAATGCGTTGTCTACATGTGTTCCTAGCTTTAATGTGTCATTACCCAGACTTCAGGAAAAAACTAAAACATTTTTAAAGATTTTTGATTTGAGTTTTTGAGATATTTTCTGCCGTCCCAATATAACAGGTGAATGTAATTTGATTTGATGCACGGATATCAAAACCACCTCAAAACAGACTGAAACTATCTCCATGACTAGATACCAGTGGGGTTTTATGAGAAAACATGTCCTCTTGTAATCTGTTAAAACCAGCTTTTACAATTACCACCGCTGTGTGCCAACATTCCTTTGTGCTGCCAATAACATGTAGGCTACCTTTGTCAATCTGGAGGCCTACGTGTTGGTTGTTTGTGTTTGTGGCTCCATGACTCACTCTCCATTTTGAAAGGCAACCACCGCCACCTCGTGTATGACAAACGGGTCCTCTGGAGCGATACTGAGAGCCTGGCTGAAGAAACGCTCTGCCAGCTTGGAGTTGTTGGTCAGACCGTACTCCAGGCCGATGTAAAGCATGGGTAAGTGGCACCTGGATCAGAGAGAGCCACAAACAAGTGTCACCAGAAATGGCAAAATTGCCAATGCAGGCTAAAGAGACAGGTATGTCTCTGGCTGTCAGGACCTCCAGGACCTGTCAGTCGTGTACTTACCCTTTCATCAGCTGCGCAGCAGTGAAGTATGCTGCCATGGCTTGGTCATGCTCACTCTCCACCGCAAAAGAATGACCATAGGCGATCCATGCAGGGCCGTACGTCCTCTCCAGTGTGGTGGCTTTGCTACAGGAGACACACAATATTATATAACCTGCATAACTTCACCAAAACATAAACAGCCTGCTCTGTGGCCTCAGACAGGATGTGCTTCCTTTTGAGTGTGCGACTGCATACCTGAGGTACCGCCGAGCGTGCTCGTTTTTATGGCCCACCATGAGATAGTAGCACCCGACAGCAAACCAGGATACCTGATAAAGGTTTCTGATGGTTATCAATTACGGCAAATTATGTTTTTAAAAAAAAAGAGAGAAACAGGCTGCAACACTTACTGGGTTGTTGGGATACAAGTCTACAAGTTTGTGCGAGAGGTAAAACAATTCTACAGAGGAAAAAAAACACAAAAAAAGCTTACTGAGCAAATTTAACCAATGAACTATGATACTGATGGGTAGGCTAAGCAATCAAACAAAACCTGCTTTATGCATGAATGCGATGTATATTTTACCGTTTGCTTTTCCAAGCTCCACCAGAGTTCCTATGTGGACCGGTAAACAGTTGGCATGGAAGGGGTCTTTAACCATCACCCTGAAATACAAACGCAGAGCTGCATTAAGTGGTCGTGCATTTTTACCGACATTCTACCGCATTTAACTTGTCAACCTTTATATAGAATGTAATTCACCTCATATGATTTGATACTACACTGTGATTTCGGGCATTATTTAATGGCTTTTTTAGGTTTGAATGTTACTATACAATGACACAGATCCATACATGTGTATTAGTCAAAACCACTTTGTCTGGTTGAGGGTGAAGTAGGAATTTCAGGCAAAGCTGGACATTAAAGCAGGCTACAAGTTACATACAGAGGTGAGAATGATTGTTGTCATGGGATTTTACGGTGTATGATGTTGCTGTGGTGAATGCAAGCCTCGCATTTCTACAGCATCTCTTTATAATTATCCACATTACACAAAGATCAACCACAGACTGAGAGGAAGACACTCACGTTGAGGTGAGTTTGTAGCACATCTTGAAATCACAGTTATAATAATGTCTCTCGGCAAGAGACACCACCACGTCCAAGTTGTCCTGAAGACCATTGACCATCTCTGGCACCACCAAGTCACTGGGCTTGTTATACTGCAGAGGGAAGGAGAAGGAGTGTGTGTGTGTGAGAAAGGTGGTTGTAGGGTTTAAATGTGAGTAGGTGTGAAAGATAAAACAAGGTCATGAAATAGGCAGAGAAAGGAGACTGATTAAGGAGGGTACACTGGAGAGCAACATTTGGGTGTTAGCTCTCTATGAACTCAAATTAAAGGATAAGTATTTGAGATTGACTAAAAACAAACTGCAGGGCCCATGTTCACTCAAGTAAGATGTCATTTTATACAACAATGTGGATAAATGATGTGCCTTCAATAACTTTTGGACAACAATGGAACAAAAATGTGTCGATAAGACAGAGGAATACCTTTAAGTTATATCAGGCTACAAAGACAATACTTGTTGGTCGGATCAATTCATTGTTGGTTTTGGTATTTTCAAAGGATTAGCAGACAATAAGAAAATATAACTATCATCAGACTTATCCTTCAATTAATAATAATAAAATATAAATCAAAACTAAATGCAGAGCCCCATACCTTCTTTAACTTATTCTCAAATAAGAAGTGTAATAGCTCCTCCTCCTCCTCAGTGCACTGTTGACTCAGAGGAAGTGAGTCCAGGAAGTCTTTTTCTATTGAAAAATGAACAACAACTTTCACATACAAGTTCTTGAAATGATGATAAACATCATCGCTGTAGAAAATAACCAGGTCAGTGCACATCCTCGCCACAGATCAGCCTCACCTTCCTGAGCGGTCAACATGTGGTGGGACGTTAAAAGGTCAAAGGCTTCAAAGCAGTACACATCCAGTTTCAAGGCCTCTTTATAGCTCGAGGTGGCCAGTGGTCTGTTGTCCATGGCATCATAGATCTTACCCCGCAGGAGGCAGATGGAGCTGTTGACCTGAAATATGTTAGAGAGAACAGAAAGAGTCTTTAGTAAATACATACAACAGTACTCATAACTTTATATGGTGTTTAAGCTGCTAATATTAGTTTCTAAATTTGTGAAAATAAAGGATTTATAGGGACTGCATATGCAGCACTGCTTTTGAGGATTCTGGGAACCGTATGAATTCCCTGAAATACAAAATAAGGGTTTAAAAAAATAAAGAATGCATTTAATTTCTACCAACAACGGAAATACAACTGAACTTGGTGGTGAGAGTGTTTGTGCTAAGTCAAACTGCACATGGCTGGGAAAATTCACTGGCAGAGTACAGCTACATATTTGCAGTAACAGCATTAAACAATATGATTGTTAAAAAAAAGTTGAGTGGTGATTAACAGAACAATGTTGAGTAATGAGATTCGATCATGCAACACTGACAGACAAGACAGTCCAAAATCTCTCATCTGACGGCATTCAATATATTCCAGTGTCTCAACGGCAGTCCAGACTTACAGCGGCAGGGGACATGTCCCAATCCTTGGCCGACTCTGGTGTCCCACTGTCCTCTTTCGCACTCCTGTCCAGCAGCTTCTTACAAGCTGACTCCTCTGTGTCCAGGATATCCAAGGCCTGCTGGAACTCTTTGGCAGCATACTAGACAAAACAATCAAAAGGATAATAAATCTAAAGCATGGGCAATATCTGGTAGGTTTCTCTCTATATTATATTCTGTAGCACATGTAGAGGAGGGTTTATGACTGACAGTGTGTATTTTGGAGTTACTTACATGGCACCTAGCAGCAAGATACTGACAAGCTCCGTACAACTGTGTGAGAGAGGACATGTTTGTTTCAGACAAGGGACTGACTTCAGGGAGACAGTGATAACTTCAAATACACACATTTTGGTTTGTCACCCACTTCCCCAGCACAAAGCTTTGCACACATTGACAACTCACACATAACCTGCGATTACCTTGTCAAGTTTCCGTGAGCGGAGGGCATGGGAGGCTCTGTGGTACTGTGAGGTCAAGTAAAGGCACTGAGCTAGCCAGTAGATATCCTGGGGATCCTCTGCATGCCAAACAAAGAGGTAGTATTGGGGTCATCAACGTCTGACGTTAGAGTCATCACTGACCGGCTACACAATAACACTGCAGCTGTTGGCAAGCTACTGTATTCAAGTTACGTTTATTTTTAGCTGTGAGTGTACGTAACAATGTCACATTTAACACGTATTCTCTCTCTATAAAACGCCAGTGCTGCTAAGATTAGCATAGTAATTTAAGGTGGCAGATTGGTAGGTTAAATCCACTCTCATGCTGGTGTAACGTTAGCGGTTATAGCACTAACTCACCGTGAGACAGGGACGCTATCTTGTCGGCCCAAAACAGAGCACTTTGATACTGTTGCTGTGAAGAAACACACAAAGACAGGGCAAGAGTCACTCAAATACATCGTTATTGTTGTGGTTGGCTGGCTGCCTGGCCGGCTGATAGCTTTTAAGTTAGCGAGCCAGTCAAGCTAGCTGTATCGCTCCCAAGCTAGCATTAGCTAGCAGCACAGAAAGTCAGAAATAAATGAGGCTAATTGTTACCTGGTCAATGTACTGCCGTACTCGCTTTCGAATTCTGTCGAGATTCATTTTGAGTTTTCCTTTTTACAATTATCGCTCTGACTATAAAAAGCGTGCCATTCTTAGAGACAAAAACAATGCAGTGTATAAAACTATGCTCAAAACAGTAAGTGCTAGCTTGCTAGCGGCGTAAAATCAAATCCGCGGCTTCTTTCTGCAACGGGTGTCCTGCAAAATTGTGCGTAAAGAAACGCATACTGGATAGACAGTTCCACATGAACTCTTTCACTTTCGTTGTATGTCTAGCTGTAAAATAATAGTATATACATAAAAACAATATACAAACATTTACTTGATTTATTTATTGTTGTTTTGTGCTGTGAAAGAAACAATACAAATGGTTATCATGCAGTTTGTGACAATTACATAAACCACAGACATATGAATTTAACTCGGTACACAGCCTATACAAAACTACTACTTCTCTATTTTAGAGTGCCATGCAAGATTTAGGTCCAGTTTCTCTGTACATATATGTACTTTTCAAAACTGCCTATAGTGGCACAAAGAGTCTCTTTAATGTGAAGAAAGAAGAAGTTTACTAAAAGAATAAAACATGTTATCCCTCTTCAGTAACCAGGATTCTCAGGTGTATCCTGTGAGATGTATTTCTCAGTTGCATTTGGTTCAGGGTATGTTACTATGTCCTGCTGTATCTCTCTTCTTGAACCTTCTTTCTTGCTGGTTTCTTTCCTCTTTTCATTTTACCCAGACTCTGCTTTGCCATTGACGTTGTTGCTTGCAGGACTGTGTATGTTTGCACCAGCGCTGATCTTCTGTTCTTCATTATCATCACTGCGCTTCTTGCCGTGTTTTTCTTGTCCCTGAAATTGGCATATGATCATATGATACAGTTTAAGGGGTCATTGTGAGTGCAGAAGTGACAGATAATTAATGAATGTTATCTAAAAAAAGAAGGAAAAAAAATGAACCTTTTGCTGGCTTGTCCTGCATTGTGGGTAATGTGTAATGCTGTCCATCACTTTGAGAGTTTTGAGCCAGCCCTTATGCCAGCTCCTGAGATTATAATGAGAGCTGCACTGGCTGAAACGGAACAGGATCATTTGATTCTCCTTGGTAATACGGAGCAGCTCCAGTTGTCGCCTCTCCGCGCCAAGGCTGCTATGAAGAGTAAACACAGGCTTTACGACTGTGTTCAGTGTCAAGGGCCACCTTATTTCTCGCCATTACTTGTTGCTTCACTTTCATATGTACTTTTACATCGATAGTTCTACCACAACCTCAACCGACCTTTTTGAATCGTAATAATTCCTGTTGTCAACTCCTCCACTTGTCCTCATGATGTGCGATATTTTCTCCACGAGCATATTGTTCTTCCTCTGAATCGTCATTGCCAAATCTTCTTCAAGCTCAATGCAATAACACAGGATTGGACATTGCCACACAGTATTCAGGTTGAGATTTAAAAACATTCTTATATTCACTGCACTATTCATTTCTCATAGTTTGAGGCTTCACTGGGTGGTTTTAGGCACTGATACATCTGCTGCCACCCTGTGGACGTAATGTGAGCAGTTGAAAACGTGAAAACGTGAGAGAGAAAACAGCCACCTTTAGGTTCTTCAGCTTGATTGTCAGGTGACTATAGGTCTTTGGTGGAGTCGTGTTGATTGTTGGTTTGGCTGACTTCACCTTGGGAGACAAGAAAAAACAACAACATACAGCTTTGAGTAGAGCAATGAATGGCACTGAATCATTGCAACACGTACTGGTTTGAAAAATAGGTTAATTTGTGACTAGAATAAAAACTTGAGGCGTAGGTCAAAACATTTTAAAATATGGAATAATATAAAGGTATTAAGTCACTTCACAAACCAAAGTAGGGTATATGTTTGTCCTATCCCCCTGTGTAAATCATATGAAGCCATGCCAAATTTCTGCTGCAGGTATTTGTTTCCAGTGGGAAGCAGGGGTTGATACCCCCGATGCGCCATCACGGCCCTGTCGATACAAAACATTAAACTAAAGTGCTATACCACCAGCCCCCGACCTCCACTAGAAAACCACACACTTTTAAATCATGTTGCATTAATGCTGTGGTCCAGAATGAATCGCACAAACAGTGAACAGTATCACTACCTCACCCGGTCCCTCCTCTGACTCACCTCACACTCTGTGGCGGCACTGGCGTCTCGATGTCACAGCTCTTCATCAGCCCAGGAGAGAGTGTGTGTGCTCTGAAGCGTCTCGCTTGACTCCGGCTCCAGAGACTGCGGTCTGTTTTCTGCCAGTCATACGCGGTTGCCATGACAGCGGCTGTGGAGAGCGGAGATGAATGAATGGTTTCAAACGATGTCCTTGTTTAGCAAGTTCCACACAGAGAGACCGAGATAGGCTAATTAGTGAGGAGGCTGGAGGAGAGGGGGGGACGGGACTGTGAAATGAGGTGCCACACAGTTCAAAGCTGGAAATACAAACTGAATTTTCTAAATGTGCTCATGCTATTTATAAACTGGAAAATAAAAAAGGTTACACTCATTTTCTAACACCGATCAGACTTCCAAAGGGATCTGTTAAACATGTTGATCGTGAAATAAGTAAATCGAATGCAGAATTATTACATGTATTGCAAAAAGAAAAGAAAAAAACAAAATTTGAAAGCATTGAATTAATGAGGTCATGGTGAATGCAGGCGACTGTATTTCCTTCCTTGCTTTATGCAGACAATAACAGCCTTGGTAACAGTTACTTGGAAACTTGAACTAACGCACTCGGTGCAGAAAATCTGCTGGCACAAAACAACACTGCAGGTTGATGCCTGCAACAAGGGGGATTGAGTTTATATAAAGTTAGACAACTACATTAAATCAAATCCAATCCATACACCACACAGCACTGCATATTATGCAGTGGTATCATGATACATGATCATGTTTAGAAGCCAATATCTGTTCTGGACAGTACAACACAATGGAGCACATCATCAAGGATTTGTTGAATGAATCCCATTGAGGTGATATGACTTCATGAATGAACATCTATATCGCCACACTGCCCCCTGCTGACCAGAACTGGTTACGGCAACTGTTTTGCTGCAACTGAGATCATAACTTGTTAATAATTCAAATTCCACGCCAGAGTGAACAACCACAGCACTCATGAAACTCTTACTAGATAATTAAGCCGCCCTTTTCCCCCCCATGCACCACAGTGTACATTGAATTAAATGTTAACTGTAACAAGATTCAGACTGGCAAACTGAACTGAATGTCAATATGTAACACCTATGTGTGTTACCTGTGCAGCCAACTATCAATGCATAAACAATATGCTGGCAAATAATTGCACCGCATACTTTTACGAGTATATTACAGATTAATACGGCAGCATGTAACTGCAGTAGTTGTTGTAAAGTTGCCCTAACAAAGGGCGATACTTCATGTCTGACATCTCCCCACAGACGCCTTCACAAGCCAATTAACTGTTACTTACACCAAACAACCGATTTTTAATCTCAGCACACACTGGCCATAAAAGGTAGGGTACAACCATTTACACTAATTCACAGCTTTGGGAGTCTCTACTGTGGTTCACCTACCTGCATGCTCTTGGTGTGTAGAAACTGGTGCACCCAGAGGAAACCAACACGAGCAGAGGGAGGAAACGCAAATCACAGGGAAGAAACTAACCTCAAGGCCTCTCACACATCACTTTGAGCAAAAGCTGCTCTCAACAGACTTACAGCTGCACCAGATCCACCATCATATCAGTTTCTGCCAGGAAATGGACTAGCTGGGCCTTCCTTAAATAACCAAACCCAGTTTGTCAAACCTTGATTACTCACAGGACATCTCCATGCATTCAGATCACATGGCACCTAATAACAACTGGTTCCATCAGTGATGCTTTACAAGCGTCATTTTAAATACTCGTGCAATCAATTATTTTGTGTTTAACACCCAAAATGTTTGTTTACACTTAATTTCAGCTTTTCTTTTTTTATTAATCGCTGTCTGTCCACAATCCATTGTCACTGAATGTGGTTACAAACACATAAGTCAAATATAAAAACAAAAAGTAAATTTTTTCTTGTTGGTTCTGTAAGTATCATGATCAATTAAGAAGATAAGATTAAAATAACAAAGCTTGTTTTCATGTCCTGAATGGCAGGGGAGGCTACCAGTTCCAGGGAAGTCTCACCAGCGCACTAGTGGATCTTCCATTGCACCATTGTGGGAATAAGACAGTCTCTCTGGGACATGAGAAGTGCAAGGACCTAAGACCTGCTACACCTATAAACAACACTGTGTGTGTGTGTGTGCGTGTGCGTGCGTGTGTGTATATACACAGGTGTGTAAGGTTTTCCAGATGAAGCTATTGTTTTAATCTTAAAGAGAAGGCAAACATATGCAATGGAAAGGATGCTTACTGTATAGTATAACAATCGGAGAAAGAAGGGGAAATATACAGTATACTGCTGCTGTTGCACAACACTTCTGAAACAGTGTAACACTCACCTCCATCACCATTTCTATTAGATTATGTTATGTATGGTAGTGCAGGTCTATAGCTGTTTGTATGTACAAGGTACTTTGCTTTGATGAAGAATCCAATCCAATAATCAAAGTATATTATATTGTAGTTTTATCTTTTGTTTTATCTTTACGGTTTACTTATTCATTATACCGTAAAGATAAAACGGTATAATTTACTGTACTAGTTTTCCTTCCAACTGAAGTCTCATGTTGTACTTCCTACGTTGCTGCTGTAATCCTGCAGACTAATAAAGGATTATCTTATTTTATCTTAAATGTTACTTATTTTTCTACTTGTTCGCTGGGTTTGTCACACTTTGGCAACTGAACAGAAACCCGGTCTCCCCTGTTGGCCGCCCCGTCACTCCGCTTATTGAGACAAATACGAGGAGGTCCTTCACGGCTGATATCTTTCTAGTCCGAGCCTGTGACCAGAACCGCAGTGAGATCAGCAGGAGGAGTTTGTGCATTCCCCTAGGGTCAAGATCAAGGTTTTCCTTTTTTTGTTTTTTTGCAAATCTGTGTGATGGAAAGTGACTACGGTAACAGGTCCCGTGAGAAGGTGTTAGCATCACACCGGCTCTAAGCCTGCTCGTTAGGGTTCCTGAACATGCAAGTAAGACGATCTGTCAGTAAAGACTGATTCTTTCCATCTAATACTGTTATTTCTCCACATATTTACATAATAGTTCATTGGCTCAAATGCAACACGTTATTCATACCTTTCAGAAGCCGGTGAATGGGCCAGGAAGCTTTCGCCAACAGAGAGCTCTCCTCTCTTATTAAAAGCTCTCTGCTCCGCTCTCAGTGATCATCTATCGGATAGGGGTTGATGAAGCATTACAAACACTGTTGTGACCTTTTTTTTTAAATAGAAACCGACATTAGAGACATCTCTGGGCACACTGCTTACTTCCTCTGGAGATGGTCCCGTTCTTCCATTATCTCGTACGTCACATTTAAACCTATCAGAAAATGCAGCGAACATTCCGTGTGTCTGAATATCATGTGGGAGGGTTATCAGCGCCTCTTTTTTCTCCCCTCACCTGCTCCTTTCTATGTGCAAAAACCCCCCTAAACCCGACTTACAGAGCCCCCCTGGTTAGCGAACCCTTAACTCTAATGACATCTGAAAACCCTTCACACTTGATTTACAGGAAGTCGTTTTAAAGTCAACACAGTTTCCAGCTAATGGACGGTAGAATAGGTAACGACTCCAAGGCTACATACCCTCATCCCCCGCTGCTCCATTAATGCCGCCGAGCTGCAGAGGAACGGATGCTTTGACTCGGAAATAGGCTTCATCCCTCTAAAAGTGGCTCTTTTGATGACAGTTTGGCGCACACATGCTGCACTTCCTCCCTGAATGCGGGGAAGTTTGCCCCATTTTAACACTCAAACCCATGCAGGCCTATATCCCGGATAGATCCGCGCCATGAAAGGGTATAAATAATGAACGACGCAGTCTTTACAAGTTTAAAAAAAGCCACAGTGCAGTTACATAACAGCGGAAAGAGTTATGAGGATAACAAATTAGGCGGCGCGAGGCCGAGGACTGTAACATGCTGGACTAATCCGCTGCAGTGAGCCAACACAACCCAGATTTATGCCCAGATTTTGTGCTCTTCAATGTAACCTTGGCGTTGTTCACAACTATAAATGTTCTCCTGTTTCCCTTGGCAACTTTACCTCTTTGAAAAATCTCAGTGTCTTGGTTACTGGCAAGGTCCCTCGTCCCTGTATCATGGTTTTAAAACCTGCAGAAAACAAACAGTGTCTCATAATCATCTTGTATCTGACAGGATCACTCTTATTGTAGTGAGCGTGTGTTGTTTTGTGAGTGTGTTTGTCTCCTCTTTGTCCCTCTCAAGATTTTCTAAATGGTACAAAACCTTGATGCAGTTTGTTTTTTCAACCTGTGCAGCTTTTTAATCGTTCTGTATGCCGTCATTGAAAGAATAAGGAATTGATTTAAGAGGCCAGCCTAAAACTTTCCTTCCTGATCCAGAACTGGTTGCCAAATGGTGTAAAAATTGAATGCACAGCCTCTTGTAGCATAACACATTTTTTCCAGGATCAGATGATGCATAAGATCTCGAATCCATGGATTGAAAGTTGGGGACATTTTTTTCTTTCCATCTAAGCAGTACAAGTCTTCTAGCCAGCAGCGCAGCAAAGGCTATCTTGTTTTTGCTCTATTGGTTGAGACATAAATCACGCGGTACCATACCAAATATTGCTATCTTGCTATTTTTAGCATATCAGAGTAGAATTTGAATATGGATTGCCAAGACAATCTGCTAATTTTGAAACATATGTGATACAGTGGATGGTGTTGCTCCACAGCGATCACAGTGAGGATCGATATTTGGTGTAGATTTGGCCACTTTCGCTTAAGACCAATGCAGTCTACGTACAATCTTAAACGGTATTACTTAATGTTTTAAACTAATTGACGATGAGTGTGTCATATGTACTGTGGATTGCCACATGTCCTCTGAAAGCTCTGTGTCTAAATCTTCTCCATATTGTCTTTTTAAACATGTCAGGGCTTCTAGATTGTCAGAGTTGAAAGAGTAGATCTGCTAATAATCGCTTTAGTGCAGGAACTGAGCTCCACAACAGATTCATAAGGAGAGCTAATGATGCAAAGTGAGCCGAGTGTGAGGACACAAAGCTGCACAGTTGCAGGTATTTGAAGAAGTAAGAGAGTTGGGGATTAAAAATGTTAAGCTTAGCTGCGCAAATGATGCAAAAGCATCATCAACATATACATCTTTTAATGTGACTAATCCCCTCTTGGTCCGGGTATTGAAGGATCCATCAATCATAGTAGGTTTAAACATATTACATGTTACTTGCTCTAGAGCCACTGATTGATACATTATTAAGTGACAAGACTCGGCTGAACTGTGCCCAAGCCTTCAAGGACTGCTTAACCACTCAGATAAAGGTTCAGGCGAGGACTTTAAGCAAAGTATGTAAAGAGGCGGGCCCACATGGCAAGATCTACAACCGTTCAACCACTTTTGGGCCCCTGTCATGTGATGAGTTAAGCCAATATAACATTGGTTGCCCAATAAAAATATTAAAAGTTGAGTAAATTCAATCCTCCAAGTTCAAAGTGTCACTGTAAGATGTTCTCACATTTTCATAGATTTGTGAATGAGGATAAATATATCCATATGAAGAGAGAAAGATTTTGCCATAACGATATACATTGGAACAAATCTAATGATGTAAATTCAACCTCCTTCCATCTTAATGACAATGATAATTAGTGGGGCAACGGATCATAAAACTCACCGTTCGGAGCAAATATAACTCTTAGAGATCCCTGATCACGTTTTTTTGCTGCCGATACCAATTGCCGATCACTGATGATGCATATTGGCAGATACAGATCTCTTCGTTGTTTGATTATAGTAGCTGGTCTACAAGGCTCTATCAGTCCCAAAAATCATTTCAACTGCTCTGAAGTCAGTGTAAACCATCAAAAATTCTGAATGTTTTCATTTTACTTTGTTAAAGTCATCTATATTGTTTTTCTTCTTGATAAAAACACAGTTTAAATGATTTGGAAATAAAAGATTGTATTTAAAACAAATCTTGTCAGTAGTTTTAATGATGTATTATGAGCTGCTTAGAGGTATTGTAAACAGGTCATAATGCATCTCTAATATCTATTTATGTTGTTGTGAAAACATTTGGTTTCTCACCAACACTACATTTTACAAGATTACATGTGAACACATCATGATAACTTGCCCAATTCTTATTTTCACTGAACAGAGCCAGAACGCATCATAATGTAACTGAACGGAACCTTTGTTCGTTAGCCGTTAGCGGTGCTACCACCATCCAGTCAATGTAAACACAGATTAGTTGTTTACAATGTAACATTATCAGAGATCGACGACTAGAAAAGCATGAATGCAGATGTCCTGATCACATGTTTTACTGAACAAACGTCAGTAAAACTTTATTTCACACTGTGATGGTTAAACTGTGTAATTAATCCGCGGTTGACATGCGCGATGTCCGTTACACCACTAGTGATAATAACTTTAACTTCCTTTCAGATAATCTATAAGTGGTGGGAAGTCAGCTTTGTAAAGGTGTTTAAAATGATTCATGATCCAGATTCCCAATATTTAAATTTATTTTTTAAAGGGCAATGAACTCAGCCTTGCAATTGTATTCAAAAACAACATGATCTTCATTAAGCCATTTGTGACTATTTGATATGTTGAATATAATTGTCTTAAACTTGCATTCCCTCTAATGGCCATCAGGGGGCGACTCCTCCGGTTGCAAAAAGTAGTCTGTTTGTATAGAAGTGTATGAGAAAATGACTCTACTTCTAACTTGATTTATTTCCTCAGTAAACATTGTAAACATGAGTTTATGGTCTCAATCTCTAGTTTCAAGTCTTCTTCAGTACAGCATGATGTTCATTTAGTAAATTATGGTCCATTTAGAGTCAAATAGACCATAGAGCAGAGTATGCTTTAGGGCAGGGCTACCTTGTGATTGACAGGTTGCTGCCGCTACCAGAGCCGTATCTGGTTTGTCACTTCTCCTCAGTCCAAATATGGTCACTTCCACTCACTGGTTGCAAAAAGCCAAGACGGCGATGGCTAAAACGGCAAACTCGAGGCTTCAAAACGGCAGTCCACAAACCAATGGGTGACGTCACGACGACTACGGCCACTTCTCATACACAGTCTATGCTTCAGGCAACATAATAACAAAATGTATTTAGAAATATAATTATCCATCTACGACTACTACTAAACACAAAATTGAAGCGGTTCAAAACATAACGGAGTCAAAAACAAGCCCGGTAAGGCATTATGTGATATGCCATATCTTTGCTTATAAATTACGACAAAGTGAGTCAGTTTGACCGCTCCCACATTCATTGAACCTGGCTGGTCAAGTAGCACAAAAGACTGCACCCTCCAGCGCGGAAAAAAGTAGTTCATGAGGAAAACATCAACCTCATGCTCAAAATAACTCGACAGTGTGTCACATTTATGATCCGCCTATTTGTTGCATTTCATTCTGGTACAAGTGGTATCACTTCACTGCCGCGGTGACTTCTGCTTTCTGTACAAGATGTACAAGATAAAGTCGGTGTATAGAGCAGAGCAGAATGCTTCACTACATGGCAAATCAGTGGCTAAAGAGGGGGTGAAACAGCTAAAATATTGATTATCCTGTTGGCACTGCAGGAACCAATCAATCGCATGATTGCCTCATGGCTGTATGTTCATGAGCTTGACTATGTTGCTGCACTGTTGGAGCAGCCACGTACAGCACTGCAATGCAACTCACTGACATTAAAGAACGACACAAAGGAAACTTGGGAACAATTACTTGAAAAGGAAATCGCAAGCTAAACTGTAAAGCAGCAGAGAGGAGCTCAGAGAGGCTAAAAGCGGAAAATGTTTTCATGATAAGGAAGCGAATATGTTCATTATTGCAATTCTCACTAGACAGGAAATTCCAGAGAGACGACTATAAAGGGGCATGATTTGAGAGTGGGCTTTATTTTAGGCCTTACACATCATTGTGTGTGAGTGTGTGTGTGTGTGTGTGTGTGTGTGTGTGTGTATCGCTTCTGGGTGAAGTTTGGCTGAGGGCGTGGGGAGTAAATGTCAGGGTAAGGGCAGTGCCAGCGCAAGAAAGATGCTCGGCATGAGAGTGACCACCGTAGCATTCGTAACTAATATCCGCTCACTAGTTCTGGGCTCCGTTGGACCGCGGGCCCTTCCTCATGCTTTAGGTGACCTCTCAGTGAAG